GATCAAATACGATAAGAGTCATCCATTCCAATTAGCTTACAATATGGTATTTAATTTTTTTTCAATGTTGTTTCTCTTTATTTCTTTTATAATTTGTAAAAAAGTCGTTCAATTTCATATTTATAATATTTTTTTATAAATATGAGGAGTTGTATACAAAATAATATTCATTGTAATCGAATTAATTTAATATCACAATAATTTTAATTTATTAAAATATAATATGAAAATTTTAAATTTAATATCATTTTCAGTAGTACCATAATTAGTTTGTATCACGTGACAATAATGATTAAAAAAACTCTTTAATATTTAATATTTAATAATTAAATTTATATATTATTTATTATAAATTAAATTGATATATAATCATTTATTTTAAAAAAATTAACTGTAATATTAAACGTTTAAATCTCAAAAGTCTTGTTAAACTTTCTAAAAACATTTTCCTTTTTTTTTTTGAGAATTCTGAAAACATTGTCCTAACATACTTTTATTACACTTTTTAAAATTAATAATTGGATTTAATTGATTTTTTTAAATAATTGATGGGTTATTTTGTAGCCTCAACCTATAGTGTCTCGTCTACTTTAATTTCTCATTTCAGCTATTCAAACCCCTCTTTTTCAATATTTCCATTTTTCAAACCCTAATCCATCTAATATAAAGTTTATAATCGGACAATTTTATTGTTCATTTTAATTTTGATCGGTGCTGCGTTTTCTTTTGTAAATCTGGTAAGTCTTCGGGCGGTTTTCCGTTCGATTAGGGTTTCGTTTTTAAGGAAACTAGAAAAGGAAGGTACGTTGGAAAGAAATGAGTAATCAAAAGAAAAGGAACTTTCATATAGAAGCGTTCAAGCACAGGGTGGTGGTGGATCCGAAATACGCAGAGAAGATATGGAGCATTCTCGAACATGCAATCCATGAGATTTACAATCATAATGCTAGTGGCCTCAGTTTTGAAGAGCTTTACAGGTTTTTTTCATTTTTTATAATTAAGTTACGAGACTTTACTACATGATTGTCTCTTTGAATTAGATTCACAAATCTATAGATTTTCCGGCAATGATATCGTGTTTAAATTATTAAATAGTATTTTTTGAAATTTATAGAGAAGTTGCGGATGCAAGTTTGTTTAGGGTTTTGTGTGTAGATAATTTGGAACTACAAAGACTTTATTATGTGCTAAACACTGTTGTATGTGGATTTTCGACATTATATATTTAGGTTAAGAAGTTGCTGAACATACTTTTTTGAACATGTCTATGGAGGTAATCAGCTTGGATAGATTTTAATTGAATTGTTCTTAGAGTGATTTACTATCCTACATGCGGATAACAATTGAATTCCTCTTCCGTGGATGATTGTAGCACTGTTAATGTTTTCGTACACATATTACTTGTTTGACAGTTAAGGTTGACTGTATTTATATTGGTCTGATTGACAGTAAATATCAGGTTGTATTCGGCGTTTCTGTGTGAGTTATGAAAAGCTTACAGTGTTTACCTGTATGGTTCTTATCGCTTTGAATAGATTCATAAAAGTTTTTATCGGGATCTATTCTAAAATCTTAGAAATTATTTTGTGTGCTTGCAATAGATCTCTCTCATTGCCATCTCTCCTAAGTGAATTTCAAATGAGCAAATTAGAGTTTAGGTCCTTTTTTTATGTTATTGTTTTTTTGACATGTTTTCAGGAATGCTTACAACATGGTCTTGCACAAATTTGGTGAGAAGCTGTACTCTGGGCTGGTTACAACTATGACTGCTCACCTCAAAGAAATATCAAAATCTATAGAGGCTGCTCAGGGTGGTTTGTTTCTTGAAGAGCTGAACAGGAAATGGAATGACCACAACAAGGCACTGCAAATGATTCGAGACATATTGATGTACATGGACAGGACTTACATTCCAAATACCCATAAAACACCTGTTCACGAGCTGGGACTTAACTTGTGGAGGGATAATGTTATACATTCCAGCAAAATACAGTCAAGGCTTTTGAGCATGCTTCTTGAACTAATACACAGAGAGCGAACTGGTGAGGTTATAGACCGGGGGCTCATGAGGAATATAATCAAGATGCTTATGGATATAGGTTCCTCTGTTTACCAGGAGGACTTTGAGAAGCCATTTCTTGAGGTCTCCGCTGAGTTTTATAGGCGTGAATCTCAGAAGTTTATTGAGTGCTGTGACACTGGAGATTATCTGAAGAAAGCTGAGATACGTCTGAATGAAGAAATTGAGAGGGTTACCCATTTTTTGGATGTCAAGAGTGAAGTCAATATTACTAATGTGGTGGAGAAGGAGATGATTGCTAACCACATGATGAGACTAATCCACATGGAGAACTATGGCTTGGTAAATATGTTTCTTGATGACAAGTATGAAGACTTGGAGAGAATGTACAATTTATTTAGAAGAGTTCCTAATGGTCTCTCAATTACACGAGATGTGATGACTTCTCACCTCAGAGAAATAGGTAAACAGCTGGTTACTGATGCAGAGAAGTTAAAAGATCCTGTGGAATTTGTCCAGCGGCTCTTGGATGAAAAAGACAAATATGATAATATCATTAACCAAGCATTTTGCAATGACAAGACGTTCCAGAATGCTCTGAACTCTTCTTTCGAGTATTTAACTTGAATAACCGTTCTTCTGAATTCATTTCCTTGTTTGTGGATGACAAGCTTCGTATAGGTTTGAAAGGAGTCAGTGAGGAGGATGTGGAGATAATTCTTGACAAAGTTATGATGCTGTTTCGCTATCTGCAGGAGAAGGATGTATTTGAAAAATACTACAAACAGCACTTAGCTAAGCGGCTTCTGTCTGGCAAAACTGTATCTGATGATGCAGAAAGAAGCCTAATTGTCAAGCTTAAGACTGAATGTGGGTATCAATTCACTTCGAAATTAGAAGGCATGTTTACTGACATGAAGACCTCCCAGGATACAATGCAAGGGTTTTACATAAGCCATCCTGAGCTAATGGAGGGCCCTACCTTAGTTGTTCAGGTTCTAACAACAGGATCTTGGCCTACTCAGCCCAGTATTACTTGCAACCTACCTGCTGAAATCTCAGCACTCTGTGACAAGTTTCGGTCATATTATCTTGGTACTCATACTGGACGGAGGTTGTCTTGGCAAACTAACATGGGGACAGCAGATATAAAAACAACTTTCGGGAAGGGTCAGAGGCACGAGTTGAATGTTTCAACTTACCAAATGTGTGTGCTGATGCTCTTTAACAATGCTGATATGCTTAGCTACAGGGAGATTGAACAAGCCACTGGGATTCCTGCTTCAGACTTAAAAAGGTGTTTGCAATCAATGGCATGCGTGAAGGGAAAGAATGTTCTTAGGAAAGAACCTATGAGTAAAGACATTGGCGAGGAAGATGCATTTTTGTCAATGATAAGTTCGCAAGCAAATTCTACAAAGTGAAGATAGGAACTGTGGTTGCACAGAAGGAAACAGAACCTGAAAAGCAGGAGACACGACAAAGAGTGGAGGAGGACAGGAAGCCACAGATTGAAGCTGCAATAGTTAGGATCATGAAAGCAAGGAGGGTGCTGGATCACAACAATATAATAGCTGAGGTTACAAAGCAGTTGCAGTTGCGATTCTTGGCCAACCCAACTGAGATTAAAAAACGGATTGAGTCTCTTATTGAGCGGGATTTCTTGGAAAGGGACAATAATGATAGGAAATTGTATCGGTATCTAGCCTAAAAATCTTGAATATATTGTTTTTCTTTTTTGAAAGTGCCAAATGAAAGTGTACCATAGTTGGTAATTCAGACTTGTTTTACATACTCTGCAACCTCCATTTGTCTTAATAGATACCGAATTGTTTCTGGTTTTCCTATTTCTTACTCTGCTTATTTAAAAATAAAAATAAGTGGACGAGAATCTTGATGCATGGCATCATCGCTTGAATTTTCCAGAACCATTTCGATGTGCAACACTTAATGAAGATTTGTTCGTATTAATATAATGTATGTCCAACGATTAATTAAATTCAGCTGGAAGCTAGTGGTTGTTAAGTGATATATAAAGGTAAAACTAAGTCTGTGGACCAAACATAAACTAGAAAATTTGAGGGGTCTATTTTTGTTTTCTAACAAATTTTCCCCTTCCCACTTCACAATCGATCGAGTTATATACAATGCAAAAAAGCCATCTCATGGTCTGTAAGGATTGCTTTGGGATTTTCATATGCTCAAACTCACCAATCTAGTGACTCCTATCACAATACGTGCTTCCTGGAACTAACTAATTTTATCTGCTTTGCAGTTGCAAGTGTATGATATCAAGCAATTGTTGCAGGCAACCTGATTAAGTTGAGAAGCTTATTCCCAGGACCTGGGTTTGATTCCTAGCAGATACTCTTATCAAAATTTATCTGATAAATCACCCAAAGCAGCATGAATGTTGAAATCATTTGCAGGTGTAATGTTGATCAGTGAACTCGCAAGCAAAAGAATAGCTGTGTTTGCATTCATACAACTGTGGACAAAGTTAGCCTCATGCCTGATTTCTTTATATGAATCTAAGGTGAACAAAAATGAATTTGAGATGCAGAGGAACCTCTTTTTTCTTTTTGTTCGAAATAAGTTTATTTTATTAATAATTCAGGGCAGAATACGGCCATATCAGTACATGTCCTCAAAAAGAATCCATAATCCAGCAGAGAACTAGATCTCCTAACCAGAACCAAATTAGCAAATACCTCAAAGCAAAGCAACACATATCAGAACAGGAAACAACTTTATTAACATGCATCTAAATTGTAAAAACCTCAAACCAGGAAGTCACTGGCAATCTAACATGCATCAAAGATGCAAGGGAACATGGCCAGTATGTTCATGACAGGTAAACCTTTTGTAGTGGCTGGTCCTATCATCGGTAAAGTTTTTGCTATGATTAAAATGTAAACTTATTTTTACAAGATATATGGCATGAATATCACCTATAGTATTTTATACACAACAGGTTTACCTCAAAGTTCGTGTTAAATCTGGATCAGAGATCGCCAGCCAAAGTTATCTGATGCAGGTTTACAAACTGAAAGAGTTTCATTTCATGTCTGACTGTAGCAGGGATAATGACTGCTTCTCAAAATTCCTTCCTGAAGCTGAAGCCAGAGGAGAAACCCCAGCTGTTTGCAATGAGGAAGATGAAGAGGGAGCTGGGGCAGAAACAACAAAAGTTGAGAAAGCACTGATATTACTGCTCACGTTTATGCTGGTTCCACCAACAGAACCTTCAGTGGCAGCCTTTGGCGCTGGTGGTCTCTCAATATCCGTGATTCCTTCCAGCATCTGAACTACTTTTCCCATCATTGGCCGCTGAGAAGGCTGTTCCTGGATGCACCAGAAACTAACCTGAATTGCCCTAGTTATTTGCTCCATGTCTACATCTTGATTAACTAGCTTTTCATCAACAATTCCCTCTACATTACCCTTCTCAAATTCTTCATAAGCCCATATAGAAAACTTTTTCCTATTTGTGTCCGCTGAAACATCAAAATTCCTTCTTCCACTCACTATCTCCAACAAAACCATCCCATAGCTATAAACATCAGATTTAGAAGTTATCGGAAGGTTAGCAAGCCATTCAGGAGCCAAATAGCCCCTTGTACCCCTAACACTTGTCAATGTTCGGTATCTATGGTCTTTGGGATTTATAAGTTTGGCAAGTCCAAAATCCGACACTTTGGCGTTGTAATTTTCATCCAAGAGAATGTTTTCGGGCTTTATATCACAATGAACAATGCAGTCACGACACTCCTCATGAAGGTATGTGATTCCCCTTGCAGTTCCAAGAGCAACGTTAAAACGATATTCCCAGCTCAACATCTTTCCTGAGTGCTCTTCTGTTGCAAAGAGGAAGCTATCTAGAGACCCATTTTTCATGAACTCATAAACTAAAAGCCTGTGACGGCCCTCAGAGCAAAAACCAATCAATCTCACTAAGTTCAAATGGTGGGTGCTACTGATGGTAGCAACCTCCATTCTAAACTGTTTTTCACCCTGCTCAATGCCTTCCAGTTGCTTCACTGCCACAATCGTCCTGTTAGCAAGAACTCCTTTGTATACAGCCCCAAACCCTCCCGCTCCAAGCTTGTCCTTAAACCCCTTGGTTGAGCGCTGAAGCTCCCTGTACGAGAATTGAACAGGAGCACCAGATGCATACTCGAGAAGAGCATATTGAGCTGATAGACCCCCAAATTTGGGACTGTTTCTGCAACACCACCACCACAAACTGGCTTCCAATGCAATCAAAACCAACGCAGTAGCCACAATCACAACAACAACAATCCACGCATGCAATCTCCAACCTTTTCTATTCCCAGCATTATCTGCAAAGGGAGAAGGGTTTGGTGATACTGGTGCACAAACCTTAACATAAGAAGTACTAGGGAGTGCTGCACTTTGATACCCGCTCACAAACTCGGTAGTTTTCAAGTAACAAAGCCCGGTTCCGTCCGACAAAGAAGTGGAAGCAATACAAGACGGGCTCACAAGACAATTCAATCTACAAGCTGATATCCCAACAAAGAAAACCTGAGAAGACAACTCAGGCTGATAAGTCAAGAATTCAGCATGATCCAGTTGCAACATAGCAGCGCTACCTGGACAATCCTCAATCTCCCTTCTCCTCTTACACCCTTGCCTCCAATCATTCACATCAACCGGCTCGAAATTCTCGGATGGACACCCACAAATTGGATTTGTATCATTATAACTACAAATTCCCATATTCCCACAGTAACCAAAAACCTCACACTGATCCGAAACAGCGGACCATCTCGCAGTTGTAGTCCGACTACCTCTAGAAGAACTGTAAATCCTTAGATTGCCGTCAGAATCCAACTTTAAAAACCTCAAAATATCACTTCCTTCAGCATAATCGCTACTGTAAGCCATGATTACCCCATTACTCAAACCAGGATCAAAGAGATTCAAAATACCAATAGGTTGCAACCCTAAACTGGGTGAAGTTAAATTAGCATCAAAAGAAGAATTCAATCCTTGAGTCCAATAAACAATACTATTATTCCATGTCAAAGTTAAATTCCCTGACCTCTGGAGAGAAAAGGAATAAAGCCCAGATCTTAGAACTCCGCGATCAGTGAAATTCTGCCCTGGAACCATCGTATCCGTTGGATGATCAAAAGAAGACCAAACCACAGAAGTGCCATTGCCCAGTAGCCGGAGTTCCCCCGAGACTTCCAAGGAAGCGGAGGAAACACCTCGGCCGGCCGTGCCGGAATCCCAGACAACAGCGCCAGATCCATTGGTAAGACGAAGGGAACCGTTGGAGAGTAAACTGAGGGATCCAGCAGCGTCAACGGTGGCGCCGCCTCCAGCTGTCCAGATAGTAGGAACTCCACCTTCATAGGTGATGGCAGCGAGGAAAGAGTTGGAGGAAGGCGACGGAATGAAGGAAAGGGAGAAAGTGGAATTGGAAGAGAGCCACGACCGCTGAGTCGTGGATGAAGGGGAGATGGAGGAGCCCAAGGAGATTGTGGAAGATGAAGCAGTAAAGAAGAGTGCTGAGAGGTAGAAGAAAACCAAGCAAGAGAATTTCATTTTCTTCTCTGTACTGCCGTGTTTTGTATTATTAGCCATTTTATGTTGGTCTGGACTGGGCAGAGGAGAAAAGAAAAAGGCAGCAGCCACCAAGGGAAGAGTAGACTTTGACTCCTTCAACCCCGTACAGCGGGAGCATTACGTCGTTACATGCATTGTAGGGTCAGAAATTGGGCTGGTCACGGGATCCGAATCCAACCGCTTCCGAACTTGACCCGATTTTATTTATAGTTTATCCTAAAAATCTCATCAGTTGCAAAGAGATACGTCGTGACCGTCCCTCCACACAAAAGTGAAGAGGATATTTTCTTGTTGCTGGTGGTAGCTTAGTTTGTGAACCAAGATTTTGTCAATGGCAACCTTGTTTAGCTCTCCACCGTTTCTAACTCACCCTTTAACAAGAACTGCCCACTTCTCCTCATCGTCGCAAATACCTCCGCCGAATCCACCTTCACAACCACCATCTCCTAAATTAAGCACAACTTCTTCTGAGCAGCAACCACCTGCTGCAGCCTCCGTCAAAGTGGGAGAAGCAAAGCCCCCAAAACCTGCAACCACTGTTGAAACCACTGACTGGATAGCTTCATCCTTGACCAGGCGGTTCGGACTTGGTGCTGGCCTTGCGTGGGCAGCCTTCCTTGCTGTTGGAGTCATCTCTGAACAAATTAAAACTCGCATTGAAGTTTCTGAACAAGAAGCAAATACAAGGTGACCAACTCTCAACTCTCCTGTACCTTTGGAATGACTTCATTTTAATGGTCAAATTTTGGAGCAAAGTATAAGTAGAGAAAAAATAAATCTATACACATATTTAAAGGAGAATGAATTTCACATATTTTGGATTGTTATTATTTTGATAGCTAATATGTTAGGCTCCTCAAGTAATGGCAGAGTCAATGCTTTTCTAAGTCTAGAATTAAATGAGTTTACATGTTTGCATTTTTCTCTGGCTGGTTATGGTGCTGAAGTTTATTTTGGATCTTTCAATTCATTTATTTATTTCCAGAGGTGTGAAACTCGGGTGTTATTGATATGGTTTTGGTGTACAAAGCTTTGTCCTTATTGTTTAATAGAAGTGATTTTCAGCAATTTGGTATTTCAAGAACATTGTAATACTACAATTTAGCAAAAAATATGTTTGACTAGTTCTTCTCTAACCACCCTAATTGTGTTTGGGTAGAGATGTTGAGAAGGAAGAGGAGGTGGTGCTGCCTAATGGACTAAGGTATATTCTTTTCACTATATATGTATAGCATAATCATATATCTATATATAATTTTAACAAAAAAACCTGACGGGAAAACAAACAGGTACTATGAGTTGAGAGTTGGGGGAGGGGCTTCTCCGAGGAATGGAGACCTGGTGGTGATTGATCTAAAAGGAAAAATACAAGGCAAGGATGAAGTATTTGTTGATACATTTGATGGAGACCGAAAGCCACTTGCTCTAATAATTGGCTCAAGACCTTACGCCAAAGGAATGTGCGACGGGGTAGAATATATTCTAAGATCAATGAAAGCAGGAGGCAAAAGGAGAGTCATAGTTCCTCCCAATCTTGGCTTCGGAGAAAACGGTGCGGATTTAGGATCGGGTGTCCAGATTCCACCGTCGGAAACCCTCGAGTACATTGTTGAGATTGATAAAGTCTCTATTGCACCTGCATGATCTTGTTTTATTCGGAAACCCTCGAGTACATTGTTGAGATTGATAAAGTCTCTATTGCACCTGCATGATCTTGTTTTATTATAGTATATTTTGTCCTGTCCAAGGAACAAAGATTGGCGACTTGGTCGATCAGTGATATCATTGATTTGATTAAAATATGAGCTCTCAAATATGATATTCAAATGTAAAATGTCACATTAAATATTGAAATATGATTATGAAATTATTTTCAAATGTACTACATGTTTGTATTAAGTGGTAACCTTTAGGAGAAAGGGAGGGGGGAGAGAAACAAAAAGGAAGGTGAGGTTATAAAATTGAGAAAATAACCTCAGTGACCAAAAATGCCTTATAATATATGATTTTAATCAATTTTTTTTGGATTTGCAAAAATGACCAACTAAATCGCAATACGATCGATAATTCGCAACGCGATCTCCGGTATCGCAAATCAGTTTCCAGATCCAAACCGCAATTCTGACTATCACATTGCGATTTTCCTAATTCGTAATGCAAATACGTAAATCGCAACGCAAATTTGGAAAATCGCAATGCGATTCCGTAAATCGCAATGCGAATCTGACTATCGCAATGCGATTTACATAGCGCCATTCGTATACAACGCGTATTTTTTTTCAAATTCCAAACACGAATATATTAATATATCGGAACACTGAACCGTCCACAGTATATCCCGTAATCGCAACTCATAACCTAAAACCCTAAATCACAACTCAGTCTCATCTCTATCTCTCACTCTCTAAGGCGACATCCGTCCCCATCTCCGACGAAATCAGTCCCCATCGCCGACGATATCAGTCTCCATCTCCGGCGAAATCATTCACGGTCAGAAATGGAAAATCAACCAAATCAACCACCGAGGGTTAGTTTTTTTAATTATTTTTATTTTGAAATTTTTGCATTATTATTAGGTTTTTCATATTGAAATTGATGATAAGTTTACTAGTGTTTTCAATAATAGATTAACCATTTCACTTAGATTGCTTATTATATTCATTCGATTGCTGCTAATACTGCTAAACTATTTAGTCTTTAACCCTGTGAAGTTAGTAATTATCTTTGTTTTGTCTTTTGGCTGAAGTAATGCAATCCATTCAAGTTTCTTTCAATTTTAGTATTTGAAACCGAGAATGACTATCGCAATGCGATTCTGTCGTTGCGATTTTCATTTCGCGTTGCGATAGTCAAATTCGCGTTGCGATAGTCATTTTCCTGTTGCGATTTAAAGTTTCAGAAACTATTCTTCTTCTGCAAATTGAAACTTGAATGAATTGCATTACTTCAACCAAAAAACAAATACTAAATTCACAGTGTTGCAAATTTAAGTTTGAAAAATAAACTACTACTCTTTATGTTTATTGTTCATATCTTCACAGTGTAGCTTTTGGTATATCTAAATTGATATGTTTATTGTTTTTGCAGAACTTTTATTCGGCTCAATTGACCTTAAGAAATAAAGTAAGCCTGGCCAAAACAATTGCGTCGAAGCTTTCACCTGCACAAAGAAAAATATTTGAGGATACTTGCTTCGGGCCATGGCTGAAAGTACAACATCCGGGTGGAGATGCTATGTTGACCCATCTGTTTCTTCAAACCATGACTAGCGATCTACCAGAGACTATACAACGTCGTGATGAAGAGATATGGTTTGATTTTCCACCGGCGTATACGTGTTTTGGGCGGGAGGAGTTTTGCTTAATCATCGGTCTACGCTTCGGACACGATGATGTAGATCGGTACACTAGACATATTACCCGCCTATCATGGTTTTCCCGGGTTTTTCCTGAGCTGTCAACGGAGAAGTCGAATTTACACGTGGAAGACTTGACGAGATTATTGAATAAGAAAGATGGTTTTACTCGGATGGATGACGTCGATGTTGTCAGAGTATGCCTTCTAATACTTTTGCAAGCCGGCTTTTTAGGCAGAGAGGCCCGACAACCTATTCCTAGTAATCTAATTAAATTGGTAGAGGACCTAAATGCATGGAACATGTTTCCGTGGGGTTCGTATCTATGGAGAGCTACATGGAATAAGTTGTCGTCTGCCTTTAATGATCGGAAAAGTTTGCATGGCGATGGTTCCAAATACACTTTGTCAGGCTTTATTTGGACCTTTAAGGTAATAATTTTTATATAATGTTTCCAAAATTATAATTAATTCTTTAACAATTACTAATGTTTGTTATTATATTGTTTGTAGATTTGGATATTTGAGGCCTTTCCCGCCATGCAGACATATGCATTAAAAACTTCTAATGATATTCCTAGGGCTATTTCCTGGAAGAGGAAACGGTCCTTGCAGCAATGGGAAGATTTACTACCGTATACTACAATAAATAATGTAAGTTAACACAAATACTACCATATGTTTATAAACAAGTTATTACTAGTACACGTTTAACTTTGTTTGAGCTTTTATATTGTTAGGAGGCCAACACTCCATTACATAGGCTAACACCCACGGAAGCTGAGCTTGCCACTGATTGGTGGCAAGCTAGTAAGCTTTTTTTTTATGGCACGAATGATGAGCAGCCACCACTTCGAAAGCCATCACCTCACCCAGAGCCATCACCTGATCGACCCGAATATACACCTCCACAACGAGAGTCATCACCTATTCTGTCACATCATCGAGCCTCTTCTCCACCATCATCTCATGATAGGCGACGGCAAAGATGCCACGACGTTTATCTCCATGTTCTCCACCTCCACGGGATGAGTTAGGGGAGTTACATAATGAGGTTAATGCCTTGATGATAAATTTACTCGTAATTTCACTTAGATTGCTTAGTAAATTCATTCGGTTGCTGCCAATACTGTTTAACTGTTTATTCTTTAACCCTGTGAAGTTAGTATTTGTTTTTTGTTGTCTTTTGGTTGAAGTAATGCAATCCATTCAAGTTTCAATTTGCAGAAGAATAATAGTTTACTATCGCAACGCGAAAATGACTATCACAACGAGAGAATCGCAATGCGAAATGAAAATCGCAACAACAAAATCGCAACGCGAAAATGAATATCGCAATGCAAAAATGACTATCGCAATGCGTTGCAATTTTAAGTTTCAGATTCTATTCTTCTTTTGCAAATTGAAACTTGAATGAATTGTATTACTTCAACCAAAAGACAAATACTAACTTCACAGTGTTGAAAATTTAAGTTTCAAGAATAAACTACTACTCTTTATGTTGTCATTGAACCTGCACTAAACCTATATGTTGTCCTTTTAAATGTTTATATAAGTGCTTACTTCTGGAATGTTATCTGATGCATTTTGTGAACAATGATATAATAATGACTTGGGTGAATACCGTGCAAGTTTGAAATATATTTGTCTTTGTTTTCACTGTTTAATATCATGTCTGTTTATTTACTGATTTATATATTAATTTATTTTTAGCGGCCCGCTAAGGTGGATGCTCTAAGTCGGGTTTTTCTTGCAAGACGGAGTTCACGCATCAGACGGCCTGCACGTGCCATTACGTCTCCGTTCACCCCAATAGTGCGAAGAATCCGTAAGAAAAATCCCGACTCAACTGTCATCATTCAAGAGGCATCCCCTATCGTTCAAGAGGCCCCTATCATCCCTCAAGAGTCCCCTCCCACCGTTCAAGAGGCCACTGTCATCATTGAAGAGGTCCCTCCCAACATTCTAGATCCCGATTCACACGGCGTAATATATCGAATTATTGAGAAGCCCCCTCACATGCCGAACATGATGGATGACTGTTGGCTTTCGTATAAGTTACCGGCCAGTACCATTCCGGCAGATGAAGTGGAGAGGAAACAACTACCGGAAACAATTCTGGATAATACCCTTTGGGCTAAGACCGCAGTTGATTTTTATCTACATGAGCAGAGCCAAGGGTGTTACGCTGACATATACAAACTCAACGATGATATGCATTTGTTGATTAAACGGTCTTGGTGGGGTGTATTATTAGGGGTTGAAGACAACGGCTATTTCGATGGGGGGGTAAGTCTTATATTTCTTCTTATATTTCAGTTTGATTATTTTTTTTTAAATTTATGTAATTCACTAATATGTCTTTTTTTGTAAAACAGCATATTGATGCATGAGTGACACGTCTTCTAATTGTAAGGAAATTGAAGAAAAATATATAAAAAAAAACGCGATATACAATTATGCCGACGTCTTTTCACGTAGTTCACTTGAAGAATCAACGACAGGAATCATATGTGTTGGCTAATGGACAAGCTAAACTTTATCCTGCATGGTGGGAGGTCGATAAGGTTAGTATATTTGTTTAAATATTTTAAAGGTGTTCATAAATAAGTGCGCAATTTGAATTATTACATTTCGATGCAGGTGTTTATCCCTGTTTTGGACCGTATTCATTGGCTTCTCGTCGAGCTTCAGCTCACATCCCTAAAGATAATAGTATATGACAGCATGATAAATTACATATCATTGTCTGATTTGAGAGATATTATTAAGGGATGGAGCTCTCATTTGGCTAAATTCTTGGATGCAATTAATTATTGGACTAAGTCTGGAAACAAGAAGCCAAAGAAGTTCAATGTTACAGTTATCAGAGACGAGACCGCGCCACAACAAACGAAGGAAGCCAGAGGGGATTGTGGTCCTCTCGTATGCATGTGCTTGGAGCGTTTGACGACAGGAAGTACACATTTTCTACCTCCCACCGATAGAGATAGAGGTGCAGTAGGCTTGTGGTTTTAGCATTTTATGGCTAGAGCGATATATGCGAGACGCTGCCTACCTGCATCCGCGTTATGAAAGTGTCCATAAACAATTTGTAAGTCAAATGCAAGTGTTGTTAAACATATATACTCTTTTTGGTTTGAAAATGTTTGGTTAAGTAGCTAGAATTCAATAATTTGATGTTTGTAGGTTTTAGATGTGTAGAAAGTGTTGTTGATTCAATGTTTGGTTTCTGCAGGTTAATCCTGAAGTGAGCTGCGTGAAATGGATGTATGGGTGCAAAAGTTGATTCAATAATTGATGAGGAAATAATTCATTATTATTTTTTGATTGTTTAATTGATTTGTAAAAGATGATTTATAAATGTTGATTTGTTTAATTGATGTGTACATAATTATTATTTATGCTTGTTTAATTGATTGAAATGTAATAGTTGATTTGTTGATTTCAATCTGCATTATGTTGAATGC